GGGCCCCCAGCCCCGCCGCCAGCCCCGGGGCACGGGCACCCCAATACAATCATGCGTATCCCGTTTCTTTAATTGAATATAGAATTGGGCAAAACGTTGTGGGTTTCAACTTGTGAAAAACAACATATGCTTTTACTGGGATGTTGTTAGTAATGAATTTTGACTTCAGACCTACAAGGGTACTAATGAATGTTTCATATTTTATTTGGGATATAAGCTGTAAATGGATGAGCACCAGCTTGGGAAACACTGCCTGAAGTGAGCAGTTTGCATCCAGAGAGCACGTAGGCGTCTATAAGATCCGCTTTGATACGCCGTTTCAACGGTAGTTCCATGTGGATGGATTTTTCTTGAATTTTCTCCAGTGAAATGGGAGATGTCTCTAATACTACTTAATAGTAGTTTTTTTATTTCTGGCTGCCTTTTTTTTTTTTTTTTTTTTTTTAAATATGCTTACTTTTCCAGTTTCCCCTGTCCGTATCTGGCCCTGCACTTGCCGCATATCTCCAGCAGCCAAAAGGGGGATGTCGCCCATGTAGGCGGTCAGTGCCCACGTCAGACTGCGGCTTAAAAGCGGGGCCGCGTGCCCCTTCCTTCTCCGCGGGCTGAGCGCGCGTGGCCTGCCTCTCCCACCCCGTCAACCCAGAGGACAGGGGCCCAGTTCTGTTCATAATGAGAACGCCATCAGTCATGCCTCATGGAATTTGGCAAAGGACAGTAAAAAGGATGATGATCAGAAATAACGGGGTTTTAGTTACACTGGGCCCATGCGTGCAGCCTGTTTTTCCAACCAGTCTGGAAACAAACGTTCATTTAACTTAGAGTCCCTCCATTTCTCTGTCCCAACATTTCCTCTCACCGTTTTCCAGCCATCTTCAATTCTTTGCATCTTTGTCACACTCTACTCGTTAACTGATACCACTTCTATTTGCATTCTCCTTATCTCACAAAATGTGTAGGATGGGTTTACTGTTAAGATGGAATGAAGATTTTGTTGCCAAAGATATGTTTTATTATGATCCTTGCTTTATGTTTTGCACCGATAGGAAGCTGTTCAGTTAAGTGAAGTAGGGACTTGGAGGAACAGAATGGGCATCTCATGGTTAAGGAAATTTAATACTGCACTGGAAAGTTAGATTCTATCTTTATCTCTCTCAGATCCTTTTTGATAGGTAGCAATTGACTTCAGCATACGCTAGCAGTTGCCTCCTGTGGTATTTCTCACTTTCTTAAGAGGCTGGGGTCTACATTTGCAGCTGATCCGCAGCTGAGGGCAGTACTTTGAGCATATGAAGCATTGTGGCCCTGCAAGTGTTATGAAATCGTTCGCTGATGTTTCTGAAGTCCCCAAATATGATACTAATGTGCTACACACACACACACACACACACAAAAACCCCAAACCAAAACAAAAAAATCCTAGAGGAAATTAAAAGTTCTATCTTTAGAATACAGTTTGGATAGCGTGCAGTTAATATGTGATGGAGCTACATATTAAATACAAGGAAAATTATTTTGAGTAGCTGCTCATTAATTGTGCACCAGTTACCTCGATTTAAAAGTAACGAAAGATGAAGTTAACATCACGGTTTAATAAAGTTCCTTTAACACAGAGGTTTGGGTGTTTGTATCATTTCCTAAGTGTTTAAAAACAACAGACTACAAGTATGTTTTACTGCTGATTCATCAGCAACATCTAAACCGTTAAATCCATTGCCAAATGTAGGAGCGGTGTTGGGATAACTAACAGTAGCATCATAACTTGGTATAAACTAGAACACGGGATGCTTTCACAAATAATGATGACAGCTGGTGTAGATACCAGGTGTAGCTGAAGGTTCTCGAGTCTCCTTCACAACCCTGGGGAGCCCTGCACCGCAGCAGGCAGGACTCTTCTGCCTGTTTCTCTGAGCTTGATGTCTTTTGCCCGGTTCCATCCACTGTGAATCCTCTAGTGCCCGTTCCAGTCTCTCTTTTTGGGGGGTCTCCCCTCTGAATCTTTTTTTGTCATCTTCAAGCATCTGATCAGATACTTGTCACTCCACACTACCTTTCAGGATGTCTGTGTTTCATTTCCCAGAAGGTGTCATTTACCCTAACATCACAATACCTTTATCTCCCACCTCGTGCTTTTTGTATAATCTACCTGTCCTTCCTCTGCCCTCCAGTTTCAGGTGCTTGCTCTGGTCACTTTGCCCAGCTGCTCTAGGTCATCTCCCAAACCACAGCTCTTTGTTTCCCTTCTTTCCTCCATCTTCCTTTTCAACATCCCCCAGCAGACCCTGAGGTGCAGCACTCTCACCCTTTCTGCGCTTAAGGTGGGCCCACTTCAGCACATTTAAGTACCCATCACCCTGTCTCTCTTCCTGTGTCCAAACCCACGGGGAAAGATCTGACTTTGTAGCAGTGAGCTTGATTTGGAGCGTGTGCAGCCCAAGTCCAGTGCTGTGGTCTCTTCACCGAGGAGGAATTTAGGTTTGAGGCTTTGTAAGAGCTCTGCTGAGCACGCCTGCACTGCAGTTGATCCCCCCCCCCCCCCAAAAAAAAAAAAACCCCGTGATAGCTTGACTAAAATTAGGCAGACTTCCATTGAGATGGTGAAAGGAAACATCCTGATACAACATCCATCTCATAGCAAATTACAGTGCATCCCTGCTCAAAACTATAGAGGCCTAGGCAATTTCCAAAGGGTTTTTTTGTTTTTCTTAACATTGAGAGGTCTGATCAGTCCCCTAAAAGCCAGCCAGCCTGCAGCAGAAATTTAGCATGGAAGCAATAGACCTGATTGGTGAAAGTTCAGCAAAATTGTAGGAAAAGCAAAATGGATCTCTGTGAACTTAACAGGCCGTGCTGTTAGCATCATTTATGACTTCAACATTGTTTCAGATAAAAACAGACCTAGGTTGATGAGCCACACTATGTTGTTCTACCTTTAGACAGCAAAAACAAAAAAGGGTAACAAAATACTGTAGTTTACTATGTTGAGCATGGCTCCAGGTATTGGGCATGTGTCTACTCAGTCCCGTAGCACACAACAGCGAAACTGTAGTTTTCTTTGATAAGGTCTGGAAATATAAGGTATTTTAACATAGGATAAGAACAAACTAGAAGTTATATGACTTTTGTGTAATTGGTATGTATCACCATTTTCTAATTGCCCACTTTCTCTCCTTCCCTTCATGCTTTCATGTACTGTAAATCATTGGTGTTTTACTAAAGGATTCGTAACTTCCCCACCATCGTTGCCCACACGGATACCAAGTGTCTCATTCAGATCCAGTAGGGAAGAAAAAGCTTGATTGTGTACATCCAAGCTTTTATTACACAATACCGTTATCAAAAAGACTGGCAAGGATTTGAAAACAGCTTACAAAAAGCTAACTTCATCTCTGGCTACTAAGCATTACTATTGTATAATCTCAACTAAATGTGAAATCAATATGATATGTGCTTTAATGATTTATTTCAGTTGTCTTGCTTGGAAGTCCAAGTTGGCTTCAGTTGTTTTATTTATATATTAGCACTTAGCACATCTTGGAGATAAAAACATTTTTTACTAGAGAGATGAGATACTGTTACGCTTTCTGCAGGTGATTTATCAGTTACTTGTTAAGAATAAAAAAGAACTTTTATATTCTGAATACATTGTTCTCGCAGATAAGAGTTAGCCAAAAGGTCTGTATCACTGGTTAGAAGGAGCTGTGTTGATATGCTGCTTTTACTATATGTATAGAACAGTCTTTTGAATCAACATGAGTTTCCCTGAGAGATTGTGATGATTGTTGTTTCAGGCATGTATGTATTGCACGTTGAGAGAAGTTATTTGGAAACTTGAAAAAATTGTAATTCTGTTTTCTTCTTGTTTACACAGAAGGTGAAAGAGCTTTACCATCAATACCAAAGTAAGTTTAATGTTTTCTTTTCTTATGTATTAAAAAATGTTTTGAAAAATAGTTTTGCTTAAGGGACACTTTAGGACTTTATATACGTGCTTAATTTTTATTGTTGCTTTTGGATTCTAGGACAAATAGCAGGCAGCCATTTGGGACCATGGGGCATAAATGACTGACAGCAGCATTAAACTATAGAGATACCAGAAATAAAATCTGAGGAAAAAAGTGTATAATGCATCGACCATATTTGACAATAATAGAAGGAGGATGTTTTGGAAAAGGCTTGACTGCGATTCAGGCTATTTATTTTGAGTCCATGAGTAAAGTAAATTACAAGAGTGATGCTAAACGGTTTCTGAATTGTGGTTTCAATCTGAGAGTCAGGCTATGCTCTTGTTTTTCCTATATGTGCCCTTTCCTGCTTATGTGAAATACAGAAAATATTTTTTTTTTCTCCTATCATAAATCTGTCGTGTCACATTTTGTTAATAAAATTGCTGTAATTTTAGTCTAATTTGGAATTAAGTTTACTTAAGTCTTAAGTTGGGATCTCTAGGTTCAGTGTAATAATGAATGTCATTTACAGAGCAAACACTTTTTAATCTATGTTTTTAAATATAGTAATGTAGAAAAATTCTTCTCTGATACTAATTATGGATTTGTAGAAAATGCTAATGTATGTCAGGCAAATAGAGTTGTGTTTTTTGCTCTGGCTAGTTTTGTGGTGGTACCATATCCGAGGTATGCTGAGACATGCTGTCTGCATCTAACAGTTCTTATATAAAGTATGCTAAGATACCTCTCTGCATTTTTCTTCTTCCCAAGCTTTAAGGTAAATAAGAAAAGATTTCTAATTTAGCTCTGTTTGACCTAAGAATAATCTTATGTTGTTGGAGCCGGTAGTCCGTAACGCAGTAGTAGGCAAGCCTGTTAATTCTTCCAAAAAAAAATGCACGCCAGGTGTCGGTGGCTACATCTCCATCCTGTCTGGCAAGTTGTGATGGTTGTCTCCCCTTTCCATGGGCAGTTTCTTACTGTGGTCTCCTAAACGTCAGTCCTTTAACCAAGCCACTTTTCTTTTTTTCTTTTTTTTTTTTTTTTTTTTTTTTTTTTTTTTTTAATCTGACTGCTTTTTTTGTAGCCTTGCTTGTTTGTAATCTGACTGCTTTCTTAGTAGCCACCTTCAGACCCAGATTAAAGCCGTGTCTAGTCAGATTGTTCTCCTTGAACCTTATCAGGCAGTATCACTAGTATCCAGTAGCAGGATACAACTGTTGAAAGACCAATTTTTTTTTTAATGAAATTTAGCGGTTTATGGTGACTTACCTCTTCCTTTTTCCTTTGGGACATACGGGCTGTGCCTACTTTGACCCAGCCATCTCATTCTGTTTCTTCCTTGATTCCTGGAAGAAGTCCAGAATTATTGTTGTTACTACTTTTTTAACTAGTGGGTGGAGTATGGAACACAATTTGTTCCTGAATGTGCAAGAAACTAGCCACTTAGATGCTAGTGGTTGCTCTTCTTTCACAGGTCCTGCTGCAGTCCTCGCTAGCCAGGTAGCTTTCTCATGGTGCAGAAAGAGAGGAATTAAATGGTAGGGAGGAAAAGGAAATGAAAATCGAGATGGAAGCAGTAAACCTGGTAAACTTAGTGTGTACTCATACAGAAGAGGAAAATTTGTTTTTACTTAAATAGATACAACTGAGAAATGCAAAATAACTTTCTAATTACATAAATTTTATCCTTTTTTTTATTTGTAGGGATTTGTGGGATAAAATAAGGTTTGAAGCAAAAGCTTCTCCCCATTTTTGGGACAGTTTACCAAAACTGAATTTGTACGCTTGAGTCTGTTTAAACAAGGGCACCACGTATGCTCGTAGTTTGGCAACAGAGGAATGAGCTTTGTCAAATGTATAAAACTACTAGCCAACACCATCTTGCATCTGGAAAGATTTGCCTTTGCCAGATGAAATTCCAGATTCCTGAGAGCATGAAGTGCCGTACTCTTGCTGTCTTACCATGAAAATTATGTTTATGTATATACATAAAAAAAATTCAGAGGAATTCATTGGAATTTCTGTTACTAATGAACATTTATAGCTAACTACATTTAAATTTAATGTTTGGGGTTTTTTTTAATTTACTTGTTGTGTAAATCAATTTAAAATTGTTGTACAGGGTAAGTCGTCTTACAGACAAAAACTCAATTCATACTTTACTTCCAGTAAATAATACATAAAGTAGAAGCATCATCAAATTACATACATTGACAAAGTTTAGACGTGCATGGCTCGATCTTAAAAGTTTGGAAAACTTAGGTTTCGTTTTTTCCTTGAAAATTGCTCTGTTGTTGTGAATCAATATGCTAATTAAAATGGTAACGCATTCTCTCCGCTCTTACTCCCCCAGATAGGTTTGAAATGGTAGATTCCTTTCTGACTTTTCTCCCCCTCAAAATCTGTCACTGTGGGAAATGGATTGGCCCTGCTAATTACAGTAGGTGCCCTGTTAGGATGAATTCCCAGTGTATGTGACCGTGAAGAATGTACAGCATTCAGCGATTCCAACCTCTGTTTTACAGGCTGGCCAACAATGAGAAGCAAGGAGTAAGGTCACACACAGTCTCTGTGTCAGGTAAGGCTCATAAAAAAAAAAAAAGGCAAGTTTGTTTATAAAGCTAGCAGATGTTTTGGCAGATTTTTCACTCGCACTTAGCTCACTTCTTGCTACATGCCTATTGACTTTCCCAAGACCGTAGTTGTGCTGCCTTTGTAGTGCAGTTTCTAAAGAGAAACTTTTTGCAGCTATCCTGTGTAGCGTCTCTTGTGACAGCAGCCATATCCGTGCAGTAACGCAGGGCCAGAATACTTCAAAGCAAGGCTGCTTGTCAATATTTTCACTTAGCTTTGTAATGAAGTAGAATGTTGTGGGCTAGAACTTAAATTACCTGAGTATGTGTTAATTATGAAGGAGCAGCTTTGAAAAGTGAAAATAGGCAATTAAATATTAATCATCACTTTTCAGAAAGAAGAAACTTAATAGCTATTTTTTGGTAGCTGCTGTTTAGATCAAAGCACTTGATTTTTCCTGTTGAAAATCACAAGTTAATGGAAGGACGAGCATGTGAGGTAATACATGTTGTTTCTATAGCTTATAGGCTTCTATGATTTCTGTTAGTTACTGTGGGGTTTTTTTAAGCTTTTATACTTGAGAGTGAACATTTTTCTTTTATAGAATCTTAAATCCTTTTGAGGGATTGATTCAGTGTCTTAGTAGAAAAAACCTTTCTAAGTCCTTATACATAATATTTGTTGAGGAGATTTTCAGTGCAAAAGTGTATTAATATTATGACATGTTCCTATAGATTTCTAGTATTTGGCCACGAACTTCAGGAACCAGTGTTGTGACCCAGTCGAATGTCCGCCCCGGCTTATAGGGAAGCTGCAGCCCCACTTTAACAGTTATGTGAGGGCTTAGTGGCACTTACTCAAAAACCCGACATATTTCATACAAGAAAGAGGAAAGATACGTAGGTGTTTAATTAATTTTCTGCTTTTCAGATTTCTTTCCCT